TTAAAATAATAATATTTTAGAAAATCCTGTATTTTTGAATCTTCAGGATCTATAAACTAAAAGTTCTTTTTTTTTAAATTATATTTTGATATTAAAAATTTGTGTTTATACTCTTCCTGAAAAGTCGAATACATGAAAGTCAGAAATTAATGTTTCTTTTTTTAAGGCTATATAAGTAGAGATCTCCGAAAACCTTTGCCAGGGGGGCGTTCTCTAATATTCAACCGTTTTCAAATCACTCAAGCAGTTTTTATGAAGTTACGAAACATAAATAATTAATTGTAATTGAGACTATAAGTTGGAACTTTTTTATTTTTAGATACCATATTGAAATTAGGTATTAATAAAGGATTTCTCAATTTTCTTGTAGCATTTACAAGAAACGGAGTTTGCAGGTTCTTTTTTACTACCTACCTAATTAATTTCTTTAAGTTGAATAATTTCCTTATATATATATAAATTTTCCTGAAAAATTTCGACAAGACAATTCTAAAAAGAAGATGCAAATAAAAAAAAATCCAAAGAAAATGATTCTAGTGTGAAAATGATTCTAGTGTGAATTTCAAGTTAATTTAATCAAAACTAAAGCAAATAAGGTGGTGCTCTGAATATATATATATATATATATATATATATATATATATATATATATATATATATATATATATATATATATATATATATATATATATGTATATATGTATATATATATACACTAAAATAAAATTGAAACAAATATCAACATAATTTTTTTTTCTTTAATTATGATAAGTAAAAACATTGCGTTTCCTAATGTTGACTTCATAAAAACAAATTTGCATAGTTTTCCATGTTGTTAAAACTATAATAAAAAAATTCTGAAACATGATGTCCTTTTTTGATGATCCTCCCCTTTGTCCTTTTTATCTAGACCCCCTTCCCCATATTAGCATGACATCCTTTATGGATGCATTTTCTAAAGTGTTTTATAATGGTTATAAAATTCCTTATATATATATATAAATTTTCCTGAAAAATTTCGACAAGACAATTCTAAAAAGAAGATGCAAATAAAAAAAAATCCAAAGAAAATGATTCTAGTGTGAAGCCATATTTCAAGTTAATTTAATCAAAACTAATCAAAACAAATACTGTTTTGATTACCAAAAAACTATTTTTGCTTACATCGACGCGTCTAATATTAGAAGTTCTGATGACAAGACAAAGTCTACTTTGTCTGGTTAACATAAGTGATTCTCAAGACATGAAGAGCCTTCAAGAACGCCATTGGCGCTCTGGTCAAAAATGGAAACGTCGCAGAGAAGAGTATTTGACCGAAAAAGTCGATCAAAAGTAATTCTTTGTTACCGCAAAAACAAAAAAATCTTTAAAGTTTCCGCGAAAAAGTTTTTTTTAAATAGAGTGAAATATTTTTAAAATATATATTTAACAAGTATATTTTTAATTTAAAAAAGTATATTTATAAATATAAAAATATATATAGTTCATTAAAGTGAAATATTAAAAGAAAAAAAAATTAAAATAAAATCCTTTAAAACAGTTTCAATAAAGTTACCGCAAAAAAACAATTGTTTCATAAATACCTTTGTGTACACTACATAAAAGTATGTTTTATGACACTTTATGGCAGTTGGTTTTTTAAGTATATCAAGAATATAGGTCAAGTCATCTAATATTGAAAAAATCAGCTTGTAGAACGGTGGAGAAATTAAAAAAAAGTACTTTGAACGCGAAAATCACAATAGATAAGACTGATCATTTGTTGTAAATTTAATAAAATACTATCTATATATATATATAAATATATATATAGATAGATAGATAGATAGATATAGATATATATAATGGGATATATATACATATAGATATATATATAGATATATATAATGGGAAGAGAAAAACTAAATTCACCTTCTCTATCTAAACGAATTGTTATTGAAAACAACGATATATTTAGTCAAAAACAAATTTTGGAAGAATTCAATAAATATTTTACAAGTATTGGTCCAAATCTTGTAAAAAAAATAGTACCAACATCTGTATCATTTAAAACCTTTCTTTAAACCAACGAACAATGTTATCATGCTTGATTATAAATTAACCTATGAGAAATTTGAGGCAGCTTTTTCCTCGTTAAAAAAAGTAAGGCTCCAGGATTTTATGAGATATCTAGTATTATAGTTATTGCAAACAAACACAGTCTTAAAAGACCTCTAATACATATACTAAAGCTTTCGTTAAATTCTGGGATATTTCCGGATGTACTTAAATTAGCAAAAATAACTCCATTGTACAAATGAAATGATCATTCTGACATTACAAACTACAGGCCTATATCAGTACTTTCTGTATTTTCAAAGCTATTCGAACGTGTAGTTTATAATAGAATCTATGATTACTTCATTAAAAACAACTTTTTTTACCCAAATCAGTTTGGTTTTCAAAAAAATCTCCGTACTGAGCATGCAATCATTGAAATAGTAAATCAAATAACTAATGGTTTTGAAAATAATAAATTTAGTTTAGGAGTATTTCTTGATTTATCAAAAGCATTTGATACAGTGGACCACTGTATTCTCTTAGATAAATTAAGGCATTACGGAATAATTAATAAAACTTTTTACTGGATTAAAAGCTATCTTACAAACAAAAAACAATATGTAAATAATGCCCAATCTGGGGTGTTAAATGTCATATGTGGAGTTCCGCAAGGATCGATTCTTGGTCCACTTCTTTTTTTAATTATATAAATGACTTCTGTAATGCATCCTTAAAGCTTAATTCAGTCATGTTTGCAGATGACACGAATTTATTTCTTACCAACAACGATATCAAGAAATTATATGCGGACATGAATATTGAACTAAATAAAGTAAATAACTGGTTTAAGGCTAACAAACTCTCACTTAATACCGAGAAAACAAACTATATACTTTTTCATAAAAAAACACAAGAAGAAAATCTTCCTCTTAAGTTGCCGAACCTGTTTATAAATGATAAATTAATTAAAAAACAATCCAATATAATATTCTTGGGAATTGTTGTTGATGAAAAACTATCCTGGCTTCCGCATATAATATATATCCAGTCAAAAATTACCAAAATCATTGGTTTAATGTATCGAGTTCGCTCGTACATTAATACAAATAGTCTTAAATTAATCTACTTTGGGCTAATTCACAGCCTCATTAGCTATGCAAACATTTCATGGGCAAGTACTCAAACAGCAAAGCTTAAGAAACTTTATAGTTTTCAGAAACATGCCTGTAGAATCATTTACTTTAAAAATAGGCGGGAACACGCTAATCCCTTGATGAAAGATATGAAAATGATGAATGTATTTGAAATAAATATCTACCAGCATTTAATTTTCATGTATCGTTACAATCACAATATCTCTCCTATAAGCTTTAATAATAAGTTTGAGTTAAATAAAAATGATAACTATAATCTTAGAGCGAATTTGTTGAACACATATAAACTGCCAAGGATAATAAATAAATATTCAGAATACAGCATTTTATATAGAGGTCCAAAAGTATGGAATATTTTTCAGAAAGAGTTCAAAGGTACGGTGACTTTGTTAAGTTCATTCAAGTTTTTAACAAAAAAAAAAATCTTTAAAACCTGTGAAACATTTTTTGTTAATAATGCTTTGGATAAATTCTCTTAAATAAGTTTTTGTTTTGTTTCTACTTTTGTTTGTTGCTTGACAATTTTTATTAGCGGATTACGCATTTTGTTATGATATTTTATTGACATTTTTATTTTGTAAGTCATATTACGATATTTTAATTAAATCTTGTTAAAGGGGTTCTATAAAAAGATTGCGATGACGTTCTGTCATCCTCATCTTCTTTGAGTCCCTATCTGTTTTACTTATTTTGTTAAATTTTATATTATATAGTAGAATCTGTAAAATTCTTATGTTATGTAAACAGAGAAAAAAAATATATATATATATATATATATATATATATATATATATATATATATATATATATATATATATATATATATATATATATATATATATATATATATATGGCCGTAGAGAGGGGGGTCAGGGGTATATTGTCCTGGGGCCTTGTGAATTATAAATTACTATATTTGCCTTTTTAAATATACTGCATTTGGATTGGTTGTTCTAGTAAAGGTGAGTTTCCACTCATCCTTTTTTCTACGGGAACGGGATAGGAAAGAGAAAAATAATCACGTGAGCATGCGTAGTTTTACTTCGGACAAATTAAAACTTATAATACGCATGTCCACGTGATTATTTTTCCTTTCCCTTTCCCGTTCCCGTGAAAAAACGGATGAATGGAAATTCACCTTTACAGTTCTTACCATTAGTATCACCGTAAACGTTAAATTTAAATGCAAATCATAATAAATATTTTACAAATTTTATATGCTAGGTTATTCGGAAATAAATCAAAAGGACAATATCTCAAATGCTACTTCCAAAATTTAGCAAATGCTACTTCCAAATTACAATTTCACAAATGCTACTTCCAAAATTTAGCATTTCGCAAGTTGACATAAGAAATAAAACTATTTTGAAATATACGAAAATAGCAGTTTCGGACTTGCGAAACAAGCATTTTCGCCAAACGACGCTTTGATGTCTATAAAGAAAATTTATTTGCCAGGCTAATTTTAATTGAAAAAATTAGCATCTTTAAATCCCAAAATGTTTATAATGAATTTTTATTTTCAGTATAATAACATATTACATTTCTATGGTCTTATTTTTAGAAATATTGATAAAAAAATAAAATTTTTTTTGAAACGAAAGTATTTTGCATCGCAACATACGAAAGAGTTCTTAACGGAAACAAACTTGCAAAACGTGCCATAATAAATACATATAATGATGTTTTTTGAGCTTATTACGTATAGTAAAAGTAAGAATGATGGGGAGGAATATACATGTTTTTTTTTTTTTTTAACACACGAAATATTTGAAACAGGTTCGAATATGCTTAAGCAAAAAGTAA